AAATGAAATTGTCTATTGATAGGTATGACTGCCATGTAAGTAATCAGTTTTCGGTTGCCTATTGTAAATTTACAAGGTAAAAATCGGCTATATATATTATGAATCGGTATAATACAATCTCTTGATAATTCGTGAAAATAATCTTTCCACAATTCAATATTACAGCTTTTATCATCCTGATTGTCGATTCTGCAATGAAATCTTGTTTTTTCCCTCGGTACCCGCATATACCATTTTATAAAAGCAAGTCGATGTGTCTTTGCACCGGTTGGAAGCGGAACTGTGTGCTCAAAATAAAACTGCACTTGTCCGAGAAAAATATCGACAGATTCATCATCTTGTATAAACTTGCTTGTGACATATGAACTTCTTTGATATCGAGGTGCAAATGCAGATCCAAAGATTTCAGTAGCAATCCGAATACGACCAAATTGAGACACATTGGGTGATACAACGATTGGTTGATTTTCAGAATTGCTTGATGTCAAATTATTTGAAACAAATTCGGCAATTGATACAAAATCCCTATTGTATGTATCATTGTAATATTTTATCAGAAGTTTATATATAGTATCTGGTAACGATACTTGCTTTTTTGGGGTAATCATTTCTCTGGGAAATTCTTCACAACCGGTAATTGTAACGTCAATATTTTGATGAAAGGTTCGCATAAATCGGTAAAGTTCAGCAAAATCGAACCCATCGTAAGCCGCTAAACTTCTAGTAGTTGGCCTATTTTGTACCAGAGATAATGCTTCCATCAATTTTGGATTATCCGATTGGGCGGATATTAGGCAATTTAGCCGTGAATTTTGCGTGATGATTCGCATCAATTCTAGTTCAATAGCTCGCTTACTATTTGGAAAAGAACCTACAGCAAGATGATAAATAAATTAATTCATTTATACCATTTATTAAATTTAACTTATACCGATAACTTATACCGATTTATATATACATGCCACCCAAATTATTTTGGACTGCCGTAATTATAAGTAAAATCCCAAATTCAATTATGGCATCCCAAATTATTTTGGCACTTTATATAGTAAATTATATATAAACTGAATGAATTATGACATCCCAAATTATAATTATGGCATCCCAAAATAATTTGGGCAGCATGTATAGATTTATATATATATTTACCTAATAATCCGTTCATTCTTTCAAACGAGTAACACCAGAAAGAATATAATGGGCCATAATCATGGCAACAATCGACAATATGGAGTGATAAATGGATGTTTGGAGTTATCATTTCTTTTCCGTAATACGTTTCAATTAAACGAGCTACTTAAAGCAATCGGCTATGAGCTTCGCGCAATGCATTGGTGGCGATAATTCGATAGACAAGAAAGAGCAAGCTCTTACAAAATTTGCTAATATTTCACGATCGGAAGTATCTAGGAGATCCCACATCAATGAAGTCACGTAAATTAAAATAAACGATTTCTATTGATTGACCGTAAATCCAGAAAACCCTTCCCCGGTTGCTATTTTATACGGAATCCTTCTGATATCTGCTGGTACTTTAAGAGCTTTTGCTCTTCTTTCCATTAATTCAAGGTCCTTTTTAGTGATTTTTCCGCTATCTATCCATAATTTCTTTACGATCCAATGAGCAATCCCCAGGAATAAACAGTGCATTGGATCGACAATAAGATGTCTTATCGGGTTGAAATAAGGCAATCTTAGCATTTCCGACCACCGCACGTGAGTGTCAGAAACATGTTTTTTTCTTTCTTCCTGAGTTCTGCACTGTCTCCAAAGTTCAGCATTTTGTCGATGCTCGTTTGGATCTCTGGAAATGTACCAATCATCCATATCGTCAAACCCACCAAAATTAAACCTTCTTCCGCTGCTATTGGCTGTTTTGTAGCATCGATGACAACTGACCAGTGCCGAAATATGTCCACATAATTTTCTAGCAGCCGGTATGTCATTGCTGCAGCAAATTACGGCCATCCAAATTCTTTTACCAGATGGTAGATCGACACCATCCCAGAATTCTAACAATTCGTCGACAATTGGACTAAGAAAATGATTAATCTTGTGTAATTTTACTTCTTCCGGTCCTGGGAGAAGTCCAAGATATAGCATGTTTTCTTGTTTAAATCTAATATCACGGGGAAGATTACATATGACCCCATAGATAACACCAGAACTGTAAGCTGACGAATTAAATGGCTGGAACAAGTCTAAATTAATCATGATCCCAAGATTAAAATCGGCCGTCTTATTTGTAAAAAATCGAGTATTTGGGTTGTTTAAGGAAGATGGAAAGCTTTTTCATACATCTCTATCGTAAATATCGGTGTATAAACCTGGTTCATTTCTCCGATTTGTCCATTTCTGAAGTGATTCTTCAAAGCCTGGGCGTTGATACATCACAGTCAATTGCTTTTTCAAAGATGGTATCGGATATAACATTCTGGGTCTTCAGACAAATCCATTAACTACTGGGACTTTATTAGTTAATTCTGTTCCACATATCTGCCTTTTATTACGCATAGGATGGTTAGGAAATTCCACATAAGTGCATTGGAATCCGGTATTTGTCTCATTTTGTGGATTTCCTGGCAAAATTTCTGATATTTTATACAGAATGTTGCATTCAGAACATACCACACATGTCCTATTTCGTTTATTAATTCCTAAAAGTTTTTTTGCCATATAAAAACTTGTAGAGAAATTTTCAAAACGTGTTCGATCGGTATTCAATAATACCATCCTGAAAAACTTAATAAGTGACTCAATAGCAACATCCGGAACACGAAATCTCGCTTGGTATTTGAATATCCACAGAAGTATCCACGAATCATTAAAATTAATGTTCATGTCAAAATATTCATGGTCTAACTCAAGATCATTAAAATCGGGAGCGGTAAATTCTTCAATCGGAACATCATCCTCATCTGTAGTAGAAGCTCCATCATCATCGCTCGGTACTTTATCTTCAAGTTGAACTGGTTCCAGTTTATTAGGTTGTTCAAGATTTACATCACGAAACTTATTGTGGCATTTTTGTCTTTTCGGTCCATCAATCGGCTTATTATCAGTTTCATTATCGTTTTCATCATTATCATTTCATTCCGATTCATCATCATCGTTTCGTTCTGATTCTTCATCATCGTTTCGTTCTGATTCTTCATCATCATTTCGTTCTGATTCACCATCATCGTTTCATTCCGATTCTTCATCATCGCTTCATTCCGATTCATCATCATCGTTTCGTTCCAATTCTTCATCATCATCGGTATCTGATAAATTCTCAACGACTCTAGTTCTTCTTTTTTTTCTTTCTTTAGAACTGTTGCTAGAATTGCTTTTTTTCTTTCTTTAGAAATGTTATGTTTTTTGCTGGTTCCTCTTGATCGAGAAGCTTGAGATCCGGTAGCGATGGCTTGGAGTTGTTCTATTTCTTTGCGATGTCTCTCAAATGTTCTGGGATCCACCAAATTACTATCTCCGCAATGCAATAAACATTTACATTCAACCAAATTTCTAGTTTTAGGACCACTTTTAGTAACTTTCGAACGATCTCTATTAACACGATATTTTCTTGGTCTTGGCATATTTGGTTTGATATAAATATTTACCAACCCAATTTTATTTTAAATTTAAATAACCTGATTTAATAACTTTGAAGTTTGTTTATAAAATTCATCGTAATTAGTTCTCAATCAGTTAACTTATTTCATTTAGTTGATTAAATAAATTCTTAAAATTTCCATATCAATCAATTAATTTATTTCATTTAGTTGATTAAATAAATACTTAAAATTTCCATATCAATCAGTTAGCTTATTTCATTTAGTTGATTAAATAAATTCTTAAAAATAATATATCAATCAGTTATCTTATTGCAATTAATTAAAAAATAATAATATCAATCATGATTGAACAAATGAATTTTATGTATCAATTAATCGTATGAACGTATAAATCGGAGAAATTGCGAGAAAATCACTATCGCTACTATTTTTAATATTAATTGCAACAGTTAATTAAATCAGTTTATTTTTATTTTTAAATATATCAATAGTAACAGTTAATTAAATCAGTCTATTTAAGCTAAAATAAACTATTGGGAATATATATATGAGCTAATTTAGACTTGACTTTTTCTTCTCGCTTGTTACCGATTTTTGTAATATAACCCTATATTTTTCTATCCGTAAATTTACTGAAACATATTCTTACTGAAATATTATAATTAAATATGACTAAAAAACATAAAAAATATGAAAAACATGAAAAGAAGAAAAAATCTGGAAAACGGTACCACTCGGATATAGAATCCTCTGATAACGAAAAACCTAAAGCTAAAGTGCGAAAGACCAATAAAACGGTTCCAAAGAAACAAATGGACAAACAACGGTAATTTAATTTATTTGATTTTCGTCAGATTCTTTAATTTCTCGATTTATTAGCGATCAATACTTAATATTAAACCAACGAAAAGACAAAATACCCACTTTAATCGACTTTGTTGAAGACGAAGAAAAAAATATTGGTATATTTTGATATATTTATGTAATCATGCCCGAATTTATTATATCACCCAATAATTATGAATTTAAAGTACTCAATAAAGAAAAACGAACAAAAAGACGTCAATCAGAACCAATGAAAGGCCAAAAAGGCCGAAAGTCCGGTGTAATTGACTTAGTTAATGATGACGATGATGATCCAATTCAACAGGATGAGAGAGATAATGATCAAACCGGTATGTTATTAATGTATATATTATAAGTATATTATAATAAGATTATCAAATTTTATCAATTTTATCACAATTTTCTTTTTTAGCATTTCAGGAGCAGGTCGAAGAATTGAGTCAGTTGATCCAGAAAATAACGAAAGGTAAACAAAAAGCAGCAAATCTGAAAGATATGATTATTGACTGGTCGGGAGTAGAAACCTCAGATTCTCCAGAAAAGAGCTAATACGTATCCCGATCACCGAAAAAGAACCGATATATTCAAGCTTATGGAATTGCCAGATCATCAAAAAGTGCCCTGTCTCCATCCTCATCCTCATCGTCATCCTCATCTCCATCTCCATCCTCATCCCCATCCTCCTCATTTTCATCTTCAAATTCGTCGTTTCTTCATTACGAGGAAATGGATCAGGATCTAAGGACTGCTTTAAGGGTAACTATTTTTTTTTTTAGTTCAGTTTAATTCCCTAGATTGTTTGCTAATCAGTTGATATTCTTACGATTAGAACGAAATTGCCAGAATTATAGACCGACTTCCGGAAGACAAAGCATTAAATACTAGGAAAACTTTTGATAGTCAGCGAAAGTTAGTCCAAAATAACATAATTCTGGTAGTACAAAAAACGATCAATAAGAATATATTCTCTGTATCCGACGGTGTGATTAAGCATATCATGCATGAGAGACATCATCACCAGAGAGAGCTACTACTCAATAGCGAGAGGGATGCCAATTGGAAAGATCTCGAAAAAAGAAGAAAGCATGCAAATTCAAGACGAAGTGATGTAAATATTAAATCGTTATTTTTATATTACCTTATCTTATAATTTTCTATTAATTATTTAGAAGCGGGAAAGACGAAATAAAACTATCGACAAGTTAAAAAAATTAAAAGATCGATTGATAAATAAGTTCCACACCAACGAGCTCCGGCCTCTTCAGACTGATAATCGATACCACAGTCCTGAGGTATCGGAGACCGATAGCGATAACCCTAATAAGCGAAAGATCATCATACGGGATCTCAAATGGAGATCAGCTACCGTAAGTATTCGAATAATTTTTACCAATCGGTGCATAATAATTCGTATTTTTATTCTTCTTTTTTTTTTATAGCTATGCTCTTTTTTACGAAATTACGTCAATAATGCAGCGTCAAATGCTCGACATGTAAGAAAACGGGTGTATGATACTGAATACGCTCCTAATGAGGACAGTGCACCCGTTAATGCCCCCAAATGGGCAAAAGTCAGTTACAAAGGATCGTTGAAACATTTAGTGGAAAAATATAGTGCTAATCGCGAAGAGGTAGACGACGATAAAAGCCAGGAAGATATACATGCTGCCCAAATTATTTTGGGATGTCATAATTATAATTTGGGATGCCATAATTCATTCGGTTTATATATAATTTACTATGTAAAGTGCCAAAATAATTTGGGATGCCATAATTGAATTTGGGATTTTACTTATAATTACGGCAGTCCAAAATAATTTGGGTGGCATGTATACAGGAAGACGACGATAAAAGCCAGGAAGATGACGATAAAATGCCAGGAAGACGACGATAAAAGCCAGGAAGATGATGATAAAAGCCAGGAAGATGACGATGCAACCGGCGGAGAAAAGAATGAAGATCAGAAAAAAGAGCAGGATGAAGAAGTAGACGATAGGAAAAAAAGGAAAAAGAGAAGTGTAAGTCTTGTTTCAGAAGAATACGATAGTAGTGATAGTAGTAAATCGGTGGGATGATTCAATTATATAATAATAATTTAGCAATAAATTTATTTCTGTAAAACCGATTTTTATAATTTTAATAATTAATATATAATCGTATTTAGTAAACTAACCAAAATATAATTAATAAAACCATAAATTTAAAATAAAAATGTATGGCAATTGGAAGATTTTTTATTGGTTGAAAAGTTAACAATTGGTATACTGATATGTCAAATAGTAAATGGCCTATTGTAACCCGATTGTACTCTATTTAAATATCCGATTGTACTTTATTTGAATATCCCGATTGGAACCCTAATGTACTCTTATTGCGCTATTTTTTGGTAGCAATCGGGATTCTCTCGATTGATAATAAACAAAAAAAATAGGGGACCAATAAGATGGAAATCAGGTGACCCGATTTCCATCTTATTGGTTCCCTATTTGTCATCATTTGACCGGTAAAGTTGCTGAATAATTACGTTCAATATATTTATTTTAACCTTTGACTTTGATCGTTAATATCTTCACATCTAGTAATTCTATTTGAATAATTTTTTTTCGTTCAGGTAGAGTAGATTCTGGGCTTTTATATGAATATAAATATATGTGTTTAGCATACATGTACGCCGAGATATTAACGATTTTGTTAATTGAATAAAACTCTGACACAAAAATTTTTAAAATTATAATTCTTACCAAAAGATGATCTTTACAGGTATTATTGGGCTCTTTTTACTTTACTTAACAAGTTTTTATTTGCCATTTCTGTTTTAAATTGAATAAATTAATAAAATCAACTTTAAAAAGTAATTAACAAGTAGAATAAAATTAGTATAGTAAAAAACAAAAAAAACATCTCAAAACTCTAAATCATAACTCACATTTTTATTTTCTTTTATTGTAATTTTTGGCGCCTGACTTTATTTTTTTAAGCTCCAACCTCGTCGATTCAACTTCTTGAGATATTTCTCTAATATTATTTGTTCTCTCTTTTTAACCTCTTTAACTTTTTTAATCACATCATATGATATTTCTCTGTTTCGCTGCTGCGCCTCCTGCAGTCAACGTAAAACTTCTCTTGAAAGTCTTTTCATTTCTTCTCTATAGACTTCATAAGATGTACCTAATATTATGTCTTTTATACTTATTTTTTTGTGCATGACCTCTTGTCTTATTGACTCCAGAAATGTATCTTCCACTATATTAAGCTCACTACCACTCAAAGTTCTTTTCCTTGTAAACTCTAAAACTTTGGAGCCAGCCTGAAATAATTCCTTACTTTCCTTAAGAAACCTATACTTATATTCTGTACAATTGTACGCTGACTCCATTTTTGTGTTAATTTTTAAGTGTTTTATTAATAAACTCCTCCGTTAAATGTATTTTTCTTTCCACTGAATTTTGGATGGAATGGTCGTCAGAAAGAGTTCCATCCAATTAATCTATGCAAATCATTCCACTTCAACCAGTGATTGTTTTAACATTTTAATTTAATATACATATCAGTACTATCTAGACATCTCAAGTGCTTCTGTCTGATGGAGAAATTTAAGGAAAGGATATCCACTACAAGCCTACCCTGTAAAAAAAGTCTATCCGTTTTTTATATTCCATCTTTTGCTCATATTTCCAGAATTAATAACCTTTTTTGCAGAAACCTGTGATTTGCTACCAAGCAGTTACTCTATCGCATCAATTTTGAATCGATCACGTGATGATAAATTTTGTGATGATTTTGCAAAATAATCGAATGAATTGAAGTAATAAATATTTTCTGATTGTCGAGATATTTTTTTAATATGACAAATTAACTACTTTATAGGGACTTTATTTATATGAAATTTAATAATTTAAATTTGCATATTTTTTTTAATGAACACTTATTACTTTACATTCAGCTTGTACTAAATTTACATACGTATAGTCCACCAGATATTTGTTAATTATATTAGGATACGTATAACTTCAGGACTTTAGGTAGAAAAGCCCCTATTTATATAAATTATGTATCACGTGTATCATGTGACATTAATAATGACTGCAGTTCAACTTTTTTACTAAAAAAATAAACTTTTTAAATAGTTTGTCATTTCAATACAAGTAGTTTAAATTAGAGGTTGGAACCGACCAAAAAAATCTTAATCGATTAATAATCGATTAATATTAAAATATTAAAAATTTTTACCGCAGATTGCACCAAATTGTTTTTAATCATACATTTAGTTATAGGAAAGTCTTATTTATTATTATTATCATTTATTTATTTATTTATTTATTTTATTTTATTTCAGAAAGGAATAACCAATGACAAGTACATATAAGAAGCACTGGTCAAAAACTAATATATCGGGTAGCAGATATGTATCAGATATGTACCTGATATGTGTAGTATTAATGCTGAAAATCGGGTACCCGATATGTGTAAGATATGTGTAAATATATATATCATATACATATCATTTACATATCATATACATATCGGTACCCGATTTTCAGCATTAATACTACACATATCAGGTACATATCTGATACATATCTGCTACCCGATATATTAGTTTTTGACCAGTGATCATCGTACTTTCTCTTCCGTTGGGCTCTGCCCATTTTTTCCCATGAAGTTATGGATGAAAAATATGAGGATTTTTTGCCTTGAGTGATAGTAAAAGGACTTTTCGACGTTATATGAAGTTATTACTGAGGTCTTTAGTTTCGCCCGAACTCCTCACGGCTTATATTGAGTTAGGACCGTTATCATGAGTCTTGGAGTTACCAATAATACTGTAAGATGGCAGTTCTATACGAACGTTCCCCTGGGCTTTCTGAAAGGTTGAAAAGTAGTGCGTCTTGGTTCCTACGCCTTTAAAGTCTAACTGGCCAAGTGGTTCGCAGGCCGGACTGGTATTTCTTGGAAGGAGCTCCTGACCAACGTATTTCTTGCTAGTTGATGTTGTTAACGGGGGAGTTAGTCTTCTAAAATAAGGAGACGGAGTTGAGGTGTATGTTTGGTGTTTTTTACTCAGGTTTTTCTCATTGCACTTCGAGTTTTCCTGAGGTTTATGTTTTTATTTTTTGCTTTTTGTTTTTCTTGGTCACTTTTTTCGGTGTAACCTTATTTTCTTTGGGGGGTGGGGGGATACTGGAAAATTTGATCGTCATGGTGGCTTGGTGTTACTAATTTTCAAAATTGATGATCACTCGGGTGATAAGGGGGTGACAGGTTGGGTACCGCAGTTTTTGTAGTATGCTGATCATGTGGTCACATGTTGGACTATCATTGGATTGACTTATCTAGGTAAATCTTAGGTCGAAGGATCGTTCGCAATGAGGTGGGTGTCCTCCGTTTGGGATTGTTCGCAATGAGGTGGGTATCCCTTCGGGGATTGCATGACACTAAAAAGTTCCCCATCGGCTGGACTGCATGACACTAAAAAGTTCCCGGAGGTCTTTGTGAAATAGGTTTGTTATCCATAGTATGTAGTCAAATAGGGGAATTTGAATTTTATGTTTTTCTGATAGTGCTAATGGTAGCTCGGAGGTTCTTTACCGATTCTAGGAGTGGGTACAGCGCTGGATGGGTTACGTATAGCATAGTCGACTTTACCCATTTTGAAATAGATTTGGGGGGAGTAGCCGTAGTTATTTATATAGAGAGGGTGGGGTTTTATAATCTTAGCTTTTCTTTTTATTTGTAATTTCGGAAGATTATTTGTTCTTTGTTTTCTATTAGTTCTGCACTTGTTGCGGTACTTTATAGATCACTCTGTGTTCTCTAAAGTCACTTCAGCATTAATTAATAAAATTCAAGCTCAAGCTATGTTTGTATAGTTTTTGACCAGTGAAGTAAACTACTATACAGAAGAAATTATACAAATATGAGTGCTGTGGCTATAAATCCCTTAAAAATATTCAAAGGATTTCACCCTCCGGGCGGCACTACTCTAACAGTAAAACTACGCTACTGATAAAGGGTTCGAAAAAAATAAGAAAAAAAGAACTAATAAGAAAACCCTAAAAATCTATAAAGAGAAAAAGTTAAAAAAAGTATAAGTAGGTAATTCGGTGAATAGAGGTTATAGCCCATTGGGCTTAAATATGAAATAAGAATAAATTTCTATAAATAGATGAGTGAAAACGTGAAAGATCCTCGTTTAGAGATGATAGCCATGGTAAATTGTGCATAAAGTTGGATGAAGTTAAGTAGATCTATAGATTATTATTATCTAGATGTCTTCTCGTATCGTTGAGAGAACAGTGATAGCCATGATCGTTACGTGGTGATGTTATTATATGTGTTTGTGAGTGTGTATGAATATTTTGACGGAAGTTAAAACGATAATTGGTAAATGATTTTTTTGATAAATTTAATGACTTTTTCAGTTGTTTCCATTGTAATGCTCTGTATTTCCAAATGTTGTCATATAATTCTTTGTGTAATTCAAATAAAAATTTTAATAAAATGTTCTTTGTTGTTTGTTTACTAATTTTTGCTGCTTTGAATGGGTATGTGAGGTCCGATGGGACAAAGTTCATTAAAAGACTATGTAATTGAGGAATGTCCTAGATTTGTTTAGGGGTTTTTTGATCCATTAAAATATCGGATTGCGTGTGATGTGCTCTGAATATAATGCATATAAAGAATTAGATTCCAACGTGATAAGCGTTTTGTATTTTTCGTAAAATGTGATGAATATCGGCGTAATAATAAGAAGTACTTGTGGGCAATTCTATAGGTGTTCGTTAGATTCAATATGAGAATTGCATAAGAAGTATATATCATTATCTTTAAGTAATTCTGGGTAATTGCAATTAAGAATGTCTAATGTCGGTAAATTATTGCTGGAGCATTTAATTCTCCAGCTTACATGTTTAAAATATTTCTTACTGGTGGGTTTCGTAAACGGGTTGTATTTGAACCAAAGTTGTGAAAATTCCCAATCAATAATATTTTCTAGGGAATAGTCTTTAATTTTATGAAGGTTTTGGTGAGATAGATGTTGTTCGAAATATTGGAAGTTAATAATACGTTTAACTGATTTACGTATATTTCGGTCGATAATAATTGAATCGTTGAAAGTGAGGTGACATGCTTGAGTAGTGATGTGTCTTATGTTGATTTGTAAAAAGTCTTTTGATAACAATCCTTCTTTGGCGAGGAGATCGGCAGCATCATTTAACGGGTGTCCCGAATTCGCTTTAACTTTAAATAACGAAATTTTCAGTTTCAATACATTAATAATGTGCTTCAATGTATTCCATAAGGCACAGTTGTTCAGTTTTTGAAAATGTCTAGCTGTGAGTTTTGGAGGATATAGCATATTGAAAGTGGCGATACAACTAGCCGAATCGGTATAGATATGTACGTTGCTATCAGGAGGACAGACTATTAACGATGTTAATATAGCTACTAATTCTGCTTTTAATGAGCTTGGCCATTCTTTACATGAACCTGAATGTTTAATATTGTCTGTGAAATTTGAGGAAAATATCCAATTGTAACCCATGATTGGAATGTCATTGTCTCTATTGAGCGATCCATCTGTATAAAATTCAAGATTAGTGTAAGAAGAAAGTGATGAAGTAATTTTTAATAAAGGTATATGAAGAGAATTAGGAGTAATAAGTTGTAAAATAAGATTTTGATTTAGAAGGTGAATATTCTGTAAATCAATATGTTGTTCTAATTGTGAATGGTATAGTATAGGATCTTCTAATATAGAAGAAGTATTTGAAGGACGTGTATTTCTCATGTTAAAATCTATAAGTACTTTTTGTTTAATAGTAGTGAATTGTTGATTACATTTGTAAATGGATTTATTATAATTTGGGTAGGTTAAATTACTTTTCGAAATATTGACTATAATAGTTGAATTTGAGAGTGATGTGATGTAACAAGTATTAGAATAATTATTATTAAGGGTATTAATTTCTGAAAGGTTACATCCAGTACATTTAGATAAATACATAGGACGTGACCGTAGTGTCAAATTAGAATGTGAAAGATGTGAATCTGGGATGTGAGTGAAATGTTCAAAAGTGATGGTTTGATGGTGATGGTAAAAGTGTTGTTTCTCGATAACTCTTCCAAAAATTACGTTATTAGTGCGAGGACGCCAATATGCTATCTATATGTTTTTAATTCTTGTAATATTTGAACTTTGATGAATAATTTTAGGGCGTGTAATCAGTGGATTTTGCGTTTTAATTGGAGGTAAGTCAAAATTAAGACGTAAGTTGTGTTGATTGATAACTATGTTGTCATATAGGTATTTATACCATCCTGGCGAATGACCTTTATTGTTGGTCAGAGATTTTTTAATTTCTTTCCATGTTTTAAGAAATAAACCATCTACTGTAATAATTTGTTCGAGAAAAAAAATATCTTTGTTTTTCAATGATTTAATAAAATTAAAAAATTGATTAGAACGGATAAGATATGATGATAAAGGATATACACCTCCTTTGGTGTTAAATTTAAATGAAAATTTAAATTCTAATTTATAATTATGCATAATGCATAGGAGGTTCTCTATTCTATTTAATTTTTTAGAAGGCGAGTCTAAAAATTTGGTAGTAAAAAAAGGTCATTGGTCCATAATCTGGACTGTGAATATAAAATAAGGTATTCAATAATATTTCGTGTAAGGGCTATTCGCTTGCGTTTTCATGCAAACGAACCCCTGTCAATCAAAAACAATTTTTCAATATACACGAATGATATAGATTTATCTAAGGATCATCATCACACATTCCCGATCAACATCTAACAAATCCAATTTTAACTTCATTTTGGGGAAATACCTCACATTCGTATTTTTGCATTTAATAATGATGTTTGTGATAAAAATTGGTGATCCCAAATGTTTAAAATGTTAGGATATATTTGATTATGAATAATTGTATTATATATTGAACGTGGTAATAGAAGTGAGAATTTATAAATAGAACGTATAGTTCTATTAAAATTATTACAAATATGTGGTAAAATGATAAAATGTTGACATAAATATTCTATCTGTGGTATAAGAACTTTGTTGATAACATAAATTACATGGTCATATGTAATTTTTTTTTTTCATAGATTTGAACTCGTATATTTTAATAATCTATTGATTTTGTTGATGGTAAAAGTGAAATTATTATTAGTATTAACGTATATTCCAAGTATTCTTTCATTATTGGAAGGTGGTATGATAGTGATATCAACTGTGTCTTTTCCAAATTTAATTGGAATATGTTGTTTTTTATTGAAGGTGGGATCGTTGGTTAAGATTTTTGTTTTATCTTTATTAATTTTAATGTTTGCTAAGGCATAGAAATTATCTGCTATAGCAAGGTTATTTTGTAGATCGTTGATGTTATTAGCGAACTATGTTGTATCGTTTAAGTATCCCAAAAGTTTTATTTCAATTAATTTTTTGTGTAAATCATCTTTTCTGAATATGTTTCTTGGTATAGAAGCGTAAAGCTTGTATCCTGAAAATATGGAGTTATTGATGGCTGTGAACATAGGGTCGTAATAAATTACCCATAAGAGAAATGAAATGACTTCTCCTTGTATGATACCATTTGTCGTGGTATATTCAAATCCATATCCAAATGGAAAGATAATTTTATTTCTATGATGTGAAAATAATTTATTAATAAATGATATTAATATATCAGGAATATTAATTCTTCGTAATGCTAATTGTAATAAGTCAAGATTGACTCTATCGTATGCTTTACTTAGATCTTGAATTGCTAAAAAGAATGGATTTTTGGTATCGTGTTGATGGTCTATGATGGCTTGTATTTGTAAAATAATTTCATTACATAAAGCCCCTTGTACTTCTACTTAGTTGTTGTGTTGTAGTATTTGATTTTTTGATAAATAATGGTTTAAGCGGCTGTTAATAATTTTGACTAGTAATTTTCTTATACAGTCAAGTAAAATGATAGGTCGTGTTAAATTGATGTCATAATTCCACTATTGTGGTTTCGGGATTGAATAGAGGTATGCAAGTTCAAATTGTGATGGAATCATGCCTTTTTCTAAGCAATTATTGAAGAGAGATAACAATTCATCTAGCATCTGCTGCAGAAGCTTTTTGATAATTTCGTTAGAAATATTGTTAGGAACTGTTGCTTTGCCATTGGGGAGATCTTTGATATTTGATTTTAATTCATCTATTGTGATAGGTATTATTAATTTATTAATTTCAAATTGAGGAATGTTGGATATAGATTGGTATATGTCCTTCTATGGTTGTCTTAGTGACGTGTCAGGATTATATGATCTATTTATACGGTCGATTGAAGATATGTTTTTATAGTAATTAATAACTTTTGAATCTATTATTTCTGGATCATTTGTGAAAGTTTTAACGTTGTTTTCATCTTCGTAGATAAGCCTATCTATTTTAATAACGTTCAGTTTTTGATCTAATAATGAATTAAGCATTCTTTTTTGGTTAGTAATTATGTTATTGTCTCTTTGGTTAATATATTTTTCTATTTTTTTTTGTGGAAGTTACTGATTGAATTGTTGTAAGAGTTTTGTAGAATATTTTGTGTATTTGTCAAGTGTTTTAAAATAAGTTCAAAATTTGTTATATTAATACTAGAAGGCCATGTGATTTCTTCGTTGTAAACGGTCGAATATCAAGCACGGAAAGATGATAAAATTCAACCACCAAATGTAATTATTAAATATTAAGAACGAACAAATTAATCGTGGATTGGCGTAGATGGATAAATAATTAGCCGAAAAGGATAAACATTTAGGAAGAGTAATGATCTACATGATGTAATATTTATTGAATGATTGACAAGGAACCAATAGGATAAATAGAGTCGATCAATTGCGGCTTAGCAATCTTTAACAATAAGAACGATAAGAAAGAATAATTATAAGCCACAAAAGATAGATTATAAGCAAAACACATAAAGCGAATTAAAAGAACATATAAAATAATGTCAGAAAGATTAAAGAACACAAAATAATGTAAAAGATAATATAAAAAGATAGTATAAAGATGGAACGTAAAAGATAATATATTAAAAAGAACATATATAAAAAGATAGCATATTAAAAGATAGCATATTAAAAGATAGCGTATTTAAAATATAGATAGTATATTAGAAAGATAGTTCAAAGATAATATGTAAAAAGAACATAAAAGATAGTATATAGATAGAATAGAAAGTAGCATAAAAATTGTATATATAGAGAGCGGAATTCAAGGTAATTCCTTAGTTCTCATCCACAGAACTCAATAAAAATATAAGTTTTATTTTTTAATTATTTGTTAGTAAAGTTTAATGTTAATTAAAGGTAATAGGTTCGCCCTAAACTTTAATTAATGTTTGCTTAATTAATTTTAATTGAATAAATGGAAATTTTAAGATGAATTAAATATACACTTTTGGAAAGTAATAATTCGTAGCGAGAGCTATCGAAGTTTGAAATTAAAGGTAAAAGTGGATATAATTTGGGGAAAATTTAGAGAAGTTAAATTTTATTTTATATCGTTCGACGTTTTATATTACTAACGCTATTTATTTTGTGAACCAAGAATGTTGTCGTTATATGTTGTTGTATGTTGTTCGTTGATTATGTTGTTTGATTATGTTGTTGATTAATTGCTCGCTCGTTTAATTGTTCGTTCGTTCGTTTATTCGTTCGTTCGACCATGGGAATGCCCGTTCGATGTGGCAACTCTGTAAATTGATGACAGAGGGAATTGGGGGATCTCATATGGTGCATGCTCGCAAGAAAGGAAATGATCATCATCACATGATTATTATTATAATGAATATGAAAATTTAATTTCGTTAGTAAGTCACTGATAGGTATTATTGATCAATATTTTATTTTAGAATTTATTTTTAGATTTCAGGTTTTGACGAGTTCAGGAGGGACCAATAAATCAATAAGGATTTAATTGAGTTAAAAACTTGAAAAGGTGAAAGATTGAAGTTTGAAGTTGTGCAAGTAATCACTTAATCGATAGAAAGCACAAGAATATTTCTTTCGGGAATAAAGTACCTGAGAAATTTCGTAAGGAGATGTGGAAGTGAAAGATGAATTTTGGAATAAAGATTAATAATGGGAGAACACCAATGTATTATCTGGGGTTCATCTGTGTGGTATGGGTTACCTCTGAGTTTGAATTTTGGATAAATGCTCGAGATTGGAAAATTTTTATTCTTCGACATTAAAGATTATAACGTATGGGTTACGTCAAATCTGGATACCCAGCTCAATAATGCGCAAATTGCTTTGGGGACGGGGAATGAAAATTGTAAAGACACCTACTATCAAGAAACATTGAATGGATAAAATGGGACAAACCTGTAAACTATCATGCTTTTACCCAATGGGAAAAAGATAGAGATAAGCCCAGTATAGGTCCACCAATTTGAGGAAAGATAAGTTGGTTTAGATGAGTTTTATGGATAGCTGATGACTTTTGAAACTGGATTTTGGAAGGTTAGATTCACCCGTTAAGAGACAAGTCGGCCAACGAAGGAGGAAAAATGGATACGTTGTATTGTTACAGGTCCTAGGCTACATTTCAGATGAAGGTTCCTGGTGTAGTGTCCTAGTTCACGCTCTCATTACAATGTTCCGTTAAAAGAAGATAAAATAGAAGGATATTTACACATTAACGAGCCGTATAATGAACATTACGTGCAGTATTTAATAATAGAGTAAAATCCGAAAAGAAGGACATTTATTAAAAAGAAGAACATTTATTTGAAAAAGAATATTTATTTGAAAAAGAACATTTATTTGAAAAGAAGGACATTTATCTGAAAAGAACGACATTTTGTGCGTTATAGATTAATTTATATAATATAGAATATATAGAGCAAGAAGGATTTATGTGGATGATAAGAAAGATGTGATATGTGAAATTATGGATATCGGTGACAAAAGATAAACTTTGTGGCGCAGTAAAAACCTCCGCAGTCTGAGGAG